TTTAATGAAGACACAGTATGAATAACAAATGTAAGCCACATATATAATTAAAAATTTTCTAGTAGCCATAATGTAAAAGGAAAACAAAACTGGTGAAATTAATTTTAGCAATTATCTTAAACCAATACATGTAGCATGTCCAAAATATTATCAGTTCAACCTATAATAAATATGAGACTTGCAAAAAATTCATTTCCCTGTTTCTTGCTATCTATCCTTTATTTTGCTCTTTAGGGTTTCTCATATAAGAGAAACCACGTGATATTTAACCTGGTGTGTCTGATTTATTTACTTAACATTATGGTCTCAAGGCATATCCATTTTCCTACAAATGACTCAAGTTTATCCTTCTTTATAGCGGAATACTGCTCCATTGTATATAAATATCATATTTTCTTTATCCAGGTTCTGCTAAGTTCCCCAGGGTGGGCTCAAACTTGCAATTTTCCTGCCTCAGCCCTCCAGAGTACTAGGATTAGAGGTGTACCACTATGCAAGTAGAAGAAACTAAAACATACAAAGAGCAAAGTAGCAAGAGTGAGTCATAGGAAGGATGGAGTCCCAGATAAAGGATCCACCACCATGAATGGGGGCAGTTGGAAGATCCCTGGATCTTTGAAACTGCCTTGGATTCTTGCAACACAAGTTTCACCTGGACATCTGTGATCTTTCTATTTCTGTAATGCCAGTTTGCCACAATGGGTGAACCTCGGGACCCCGGTAATTTGAGAAAGTTCCTGGCTAATACATACACAGTTTTTCTGAATTGGTGAGATTTTCTTTTTTCTTTTTCTTTTTCTTTTTTTGTGGTACCAGGGATCAAACTCAGGAAGTTGTACTTGCAAGGCAGGCACAGTGCCACTGAGCTAAATCTCCAGCCTGGTAACAAGTTTTCTGTTACTGCTTTCATCCATCCACAGAAGGGCCTAGAAATGCTCAGAGAAATTCTTACATATGCGAAGCAGCTTTACATACCTGCATTTTTTTCTCTTGCTCATTTTCTCCAATCATTCCAGTACCCGTTACACTTTCACTTCCATCAATGGACACCTACAGGAATGAAATAAAACTTTAAAAAAGTTTCATTTATTTTTGCAGCGTTAGGGATTGAACCCAGGGTTTTATGTATGCTAGGCAAGCACTCTACCACTCAGTTATACCCCCAGCCCCAAATTTCATATTTTCACAATAGTCTATGGTAGGTGATTTATTTTTGTATATGCCTGAATATCTCCCAAATAAAGCATGAAGGAAAAACCTTTTAAATTATATGAGAAATACATGTTCAACCTAAGAAAAAAATACAGCCTTCCAACCCTCACCTTTTAAGGCAAGGTTTTACCATACTGCTTAGACTGGCCTTGAATTATTGGACTCAAGGGATCCTCCTGCCTCAGCCTCCTGAATAGCTGGGGTTACAGGTGCAATGCCATCATACTCAGATCAAAAATCAGACCTTTTAACATAAAACCTTATTGAGATTTTCCTTCACTTTTTCTAATCTCTAATTTCTACTTCTTAATTCATAAATATTTTGTTATTTCTTTTATGGTACTCATTCTTTTTTTTTTTACAACCTTTGAGTATATTAAAAAATAGCCCTGCCATGGCCTAACACCCATAACCACCCTTATGTCCCTGAGTTGGTTTTTAAATCCTCCCCTTGAGGTCTGACAGGCAGAAGTTGTCCTTGAATGCAAGTGGGGCTCAAGTCCTAAGGTGGGCATGGGTCTGGAAGGAAAGGACAGCGGCACAGGTTTTGCTTTCTAAATAAAAATGATTCTTTCCCAGGGGTGCTTGACACTCAGATCAAGTTCTGACAGTCGACACTTCTAGGTGTTGGCCAAGATCCTCGTTTCAAGACTGAGAGAGAAAGCAAGCCTGGGTTCCTCGTCGTTCCAACCCCAGTTGGGAAGAGGCTCCACCAGCTCTCGTCTCAGATCCTCTCATGGTACTCATTCTTGAATATCTTTTTGTGTGTTACTTGCTGTAGATTTGTTTCCTATATAAGACCTTACTCCATTCCCCCCCGGTTTTTTTTGAGACTATGTAGTTCAGGCTGGCCTTGAAATCACTATGTAGCCCAGGCTGGCCTTGAACTTGTGGCGATCCTCCTGTCTCAGCCTCCTGAGTGCTGGGATTATAGGCATGTGCCATCATGCCTGGCCCACTTAGTTTTCTTCTACTATTTCTTTATAGTAGGTAAGTTGATAAGAGTGCTTTTTGTTTTCTTTTCATGAAAAATAAAAAGGCTGTATTTGGGACTTTGTCTTGAGAGGGGGAGACTTTTAAAAAAAATAGTGCTAGAGATCCAGCCCAGGGCCTCCCACATGCTGGACAAGTGCTCCACCACTGAGCTACATCCCAGCCCCTGGGACAATCCTGACACTGTAAAATGCCATACCTTTGCTGCATACTGTTCCAAAGCACTGATGGTGTCAGGGTCAATGGTGGCATCCCCGGTATGCAGCCCTGCCACTGTCCCATCAGCCTGAATTGCCAGGATGGTGTCAGACTGCGGGACTTGCACTGCATGGTGGATGTAGGCCGTGGTACCATCTTCCAGCTGAACTGCCTGTAGTGCACTCTGGTCGTAACTATCTGAAGGAGTGGAAGAGAAGGGCATTAAATTAAAGGTAAAGGGCTGGGGATTTAGCTCAGTGGTTCCGGCGCCTGCCTTGCAAGCGCAAGGTCCCAAGTTCGATCCCCAGTACCAATAAATAAATAAATAAATGGTAAAATCTTTTCCATCATGTTCTGATTCACTCATTAAATTAAAAGTAAAAGCAGGGCCGGGGATTTAGCTCAGTGGTTCCCACGCCTGCCTTGCAAGCACAAGGTCCCAAGTTCGACAACTGGTACCAAAAAAAAAAAAAGTAAAAGCAGTTACATATTTAAAGTACAGGGGAATTAATTTTTATTGAGTAGTTACTATGAGCACTGGACCATCTGCTTTATAGGTCTTATTTTACTTAATCCTCACAAAAACTCTGTAAGGCAGGTCTATTTATCACCCCCACTGTACAAATGGGAATCTGAGGTGCAGGGAAATACTATCACTTTCCTTAGGGACCAGGAAATTTTAAAAACCTAACAAATGAGCTGGACACAGTGGTGCATGACTGCAATTCCAGCTATGTGGGAGGCTGAGGCAGTAGGATCACAAGTTCAAGGCCAGCCTGAGCAACTTAGTAAGACCCCCATCTCAAAATAAATTTAAAAAAAAAAAATTTTTTTTTTTTGCGGTACCAGGGATCCAACTCAAGACCTTGTGCTTGTGAGGCAGGCTCGGTGCCAATGAGCAAAATCCCCAGCCCTTAAAATAAATTTTTTAAAAAAGGACTGGAGACAGCTCAAAACTCTCTGGGTTCAATCTTTAGTACAAGAGATAAACAAGAATAAAAAACTACAGCCAGGGCCTGGGATGTAGCTCAGTGGTGCCAGGACTGCCTGGCAAGTGCAAGGACCTGAGTTCGATTCCCTGTATTAAGAAAATAAAAAAACATAGTTGGGTGTGGTGGCGCATTCCTATAGTTCCAGCACTTGGGAGGCTGAGGCAGGAGGATCCAGGCCAGTGAGTTCCATGGAAGCCCAAATTACATAGTGAGACTGTCTCAAAAAATTTAAAAAAAAAAAAAAATTGGGCCAGGGATTTAGCTCAGTGGTTTCGCCGCCTGCTGCACAAGCGCAAGGACCTGAGTTCGATCCCTGGTACCAAAAAATAAAAAATAAAAAAAATAAACACCTAACAAATAACAGTCAAAATCATTATGTAGGGAGGGCCGGGGATTTAACTCAGTGGTTCTGCTGTCTGCCTTGAAAGCGCAAGGTCCCAAGTTCGATCCCCGGTATCAAAAAAAAAAAAAAAAGAATTTAAGGAAAGAAGGCTCTATAATTCTTGAAGAAATGCAGCACAATGGAAAAATGGGAGGTTCTTACCTGCATTTCCATTTGTGTACAATTTTTGTTTCTTGAGTTGGCCTTTTCTGGTTAGCATTAGTGTTCTCCATTTCTTCAAGAGCTGTTGCATGTGGAGCATAGGATGCCATACAAGCTGTCCTGTGCTCCCCTCTACGGGGGAAAGAAACGTGCTCACATTGGTGTCTGTCATTAGTGGAGAAGGCACTGTGGGAAACTGTGGCCCATGCTGTTCTTGGAGAATTTACTTTTCAGCTTTTGTTAGATCAAAATGAGTGTTTGTGGAGTTCATATTATGGTCAGTTACATTGGCACACACTCATTTCAAGCTCCAAATTTGAGGCAGGTTGATTTTCAGTTGTCCAAAGACACTAAATTTTAGTTAAATATTTTCAGCACAATCCTCACAGATACCAGTAGGTGGTTCAGGATGCTTCCAGGAATTTCAGTGCAGCAAGAGCTCAGTGCCTAGCCTGAAGCTTGTTCTTAGAGCTGTGTCCTGTTACATGCTATGCTGTAATGTAGAATTAGAAAATACTTGTTATTTACTCAGGAAAGTCAGTTTAGTGGCACAGATTTGCGATAAGTTAATTTGTCGTCATAGGTAAATTTCTCACCTGGTCCAGTTTGTTTTATACTTTTCTTTTGTGTAAAGAGAGTCTCTCATCTGTTAGGCAAAAAAAAAAAGAAGATGGTATGACTAATTTTTTTGCCTTTTACTTAATGAAATTCATCTTGGCAGATGATTTACTTTTTAAAATAGAATTTTCCTTCATTTTTATGTCCATCAGATAATTAGTGGCCCTCTTTACTGTTCTATAGCACTTGCATCACGATTGATCAGTTCTTTTTTTTTTAATTTCTTAGTGGATGCTCAGAGGATATACAACAACTTCATCAATGTAAGTAAATAGTTGGAAAAATAAGAACCCAAGAGTTTGAGCCAAAGCATGTCTGCCCTGATTTCTAAACAATATAATGAGGACTCCATACTATTGCCATGGACTTCTTTTTGTGCAGATTGTAAATATCTTGTATTTTCCTACAGTGTATTCAGTTTACTCAGGAAAGTCTTTGACTTAGTAATGTCCATATTTTTACGAGTTTGTGATATTTAAATTCCATTACAATAATGTGAGCATAGTGTAAACATCTACCTGAAATCTTTTGCCTTAAGTTCTCTAGCCTTTTAAAAAATCAAGGTAAACTAATACATCAATTTTAAGGACTGTGTTATCTGGTGTTTCTGTGTCGTAACAGGGGAATGACTTTTCCCACCACTCCCATTTTCTGGACATGTATCACATTTTTAAATTTAAATCACCCATTGGTATTTGCATTATGATTGTTGTTCACTGCTGAGTCATTTAATAGTCCCAATATGCTGCCTCTTTGTACGCCTTCCTTCTTTTAAGTATTTCTGAACTCTGAGTAGTTCTGCACTTGTTTTGGATGATAAGCAGCATTCGTTCACAAAGCCAAGTGAGCACAGCAAGTAACCCCGGCTAGTCTTCCTGTTTTCACATTCTTCTTTTCAGTATGTGGAATTAATTTCCTATCTTCACTTGGACTGTTTTCTCACGGCTGTTTACCCCTGGAATGTTGTAACATCTGTCACATGCTGAGCAAGCCACTCTCTAGGTCCTACAACACATCTGTTTCATTTTGCTCCTGAAAGCAGCCCTCCTAGGTCTCTGTCACCCTAGGTGAGCAAGGCTGGCTTTTCCTTAGGCCTGCTGCCTGGCTCTTTCTCTGGGATGCCTCCTGGAGGTCATCTGGGTCTCACACAACTGCTCTCTTGTGCTTGGTCCTCTCTGTCCTGGATTCTTCTGTTTCCTCTGTCTTGCTGCACTCCCATTTTGCTG